ACCAGGGCTTCTACAGTGCAGGGTGGCAGGCACATTGCCTTGCATGCTTTTTACAATCCCTCGGATTTTGCAGAATATTTTTCAGCTTTTCAAAAAAAAAAAAAACTTTTGAGAAGTCTTTTTTTAATTGTTGCTTATAATCAATTAGCATAAAATCCCATGTAGTAACTCTCCACACAGGGTTTGAAGACTGTACAGCTATAAGCATTACAAGCATTTACTATATATAAACATTTATCGTATGGCATCAACAGGGCTAATACTGTTAGATGAGTTGGAAGGCAGCCAATTTCTATAAGAAAATTAGATTAATTCTACCCAGAACATGAAACAGGAGTCACTTTAAAAGCCAAAATGCAACAACCCAAAAATAATGGGGGAAATGCCAACGTTGTTTCAAAAACTACAATTTCTAAAACCATAAAGTCACCACTGGTTGGATGGAGCTTCACAAGTGTAAACATGCTGCATTCTGTTCTGTTGGTTATTAGTGCTTTCCCTTTTGTACATCCCAGGTTGGTTTCTTCTGTGGTTCTACTGAAGAATTCAGAGAGAAGTAGAAGTCCATCTGTACCCTAAAGAAGTGCAATTGACTTAATATGTGCAATACTGTCTTTTATATTGTTTTTTAAAGAATCAAACAAAAATAAAGCTATTTAATATTCCAAAAAATAGAAAAATAAAAACAGACATCTACACAGCTCTCAAAAACATAAGCCGATTTCTGAGTTTTATTTTATGAAGCACTAAGCAGCTAAACTGTCAAACACAGATTTGGCATCGATAAAGAAAAGGAAAACTATACATCCTCGCTTACGTCGAAAGGTGCAGTTTAACTCTCTCAACAGTTAAAGGGAAATTGTGATCTTAATCATCAACTTTTCTGTGTCTAAAACTGCATTTCATTAATGTCCACTCAACTCCTTATTTGCATCAGATACATCAAAAGTCCCGACACAAAACCATCTTTGAACAAAAAACACTTGCAGAAGAAGACAACAGCCTTTTGCCTTCAGCACCAACTCAATCCTCCTTTGCTGACTCGACAAGGTGATGATTATCACTGGATATCGTCATTGTTCTCAGCTCATTCTCTGTGAAACGTAGAGATGGTTGTGGGTGAAATTCCCTGGAGGACAGCAGTTTCTGAAACACTCAGATCAGCCTGTCTGGCACAAACTATCATGTTAGGGACAGCAGTAGCTCAGGAGGCAGAGCGGGTTGTACCAGAGTTCGGCTGGCCTGGCCTCTGTCAGTGCACCTCAGGGCAGCTGTGGCTACATCGTAGCTCAGCCCCACCAGCGTGTGTGTGTGTGTGTGTGTGTGTGTGTGTGTGTGTGTGTGTGTGTGTGTGTGTGTGTGTGTGTGTGTGTGTGTGTGTGTGTGTGAATGGGTGAATGGCTGATTGTGAAGTGCCTTGGGGGGTTTGCTGAACCCTAAGAAGGCGCCACACAAATACAGGCTATTTACCATGTTGCCTTCTAAGTCACTCGGCAAGAGAACCCTCACCATGTGATTGGCTGATTGTGTTAATGAGCAATTAGGTCTGAAATAAAATTGAATTTGTGAAATATTTAATATTAGAAAACAAAACCTAAAGTTTCCTCTGAAATGTAAAGCAGCAAATTGAGGTTGAAAACACATAGAAAAGGCCTGCATCTCTTTGATGTGTCAGGGAGGCTCCAACCAAGAGCAGAACACAAGGGAGAGGGAGGAACAGCAGAGAGCCTCTGTTCTTGGAGCCCTTTTCTGACTGAAGCTCATACAACATCAAAACTGTGATGCTATTGGACCAGGAACAAAGTGCAACAAGAACCAAAGACAAGCCAAGGACAAAGCTGCCCCCCGCCCCGAGATGCAAACATCCTCACATGGATGCATTAGGAAGTGTGGCTGGAGGGCAACACCATCCTCCTCCTCTCACCCACAGAACGCTCCATGGGGCTTCCTTTAAGTGGGTGTTTTAAGCACAGTGTGAGGGTAATAAAAACACGACGTCTTGTGCAGCAAAACATCCAGTTGTCTTTTAAACTAAACATAAAACAGACACAAGTGAGTTTGTGGAAAAAAATGTAGGCAGAAGAAAGCAAAATTTCAGCAAACGCTTGAAAGAAGTAGTCCACTGAGTGATAAGTAGATGTTTGAGGCATTATGATGCATCGCCATATTTCACTATGCTTCTGCTCTGCGAGCTCAACAGCAATCTGACCAGCAGGAGAGACGGAGGGGGAGGAAGAGCCAGCAAAAAGGTGCAAGATGTGGGAAAAAAGAATGATTTAGACGGAAAAAAGCATAAACTCTCTGAAGTGAGTGAAACAGAGAGGAATGCGGGAAAAGGGAGGGAGGTCAAACTAGGATGTGGCTGTTTTGCAGTTCAGTCACTGAGCACAGGCAGTACAGAGAGCTCTAACCCCTATAGCCAGTCAGCCCCATATTGTCAATCAATAAGACCGGGTTCTTCCCCTGCAGCGTTCCGCCTGCACACTGCAGGAAAATGATCCGGGAAACTCCACAGGAATGCATCTAACCACCAGGTCATTATGTTGTTAGATCAGCACTAAATGAACCAAGTGCAGCTGATTTTTGTTGAGCATTCTCAGCATCTCGATACAAATTATTTACAAAAAAACTGTGACTAACGTCAGACTGACAAATACTTATTACTATACAGATTTTGTGGAAAGAAAAAAATAAAAACTTCCATTCTGCACGACACCAATTACTTTCCTGAGCATCTGCAAGGCTCATCCAGGCATTAACCAGAGGAAGTGTTATTCAAGGACACAGAGGTAAAACTCCGACACCTTCCTGCTTTTCTCCTGATGTAAATGGATTCAAAATGACTCGTTCCAACTGGTGTGTGAGGGTGGGCATGAATACAAAGACACAGCCATAGCGGGATGTCCAATGAATCAAATGTGTGACGATGCTGTGTCTAAGTTGCTAACAGGCGTAGCACTGCAGTGACAACGCGCAGCCAACCCCCCCCCCCCCCCCCCCCCAACATTCACACACTCATACGCCGCTTAAAAGTCGTCACTGCGATCATTCTCATCAACATTCTGCGTCCACCATCGCAGGGAGAGAGGAGAGACAGGGAGCAGAAAGTTAATGCATAAATCTAAATGGAAGAGGCTGCCACTCAGAGGAACAAGGTCGGTGGTTGGCTGCAGTGGTGTGTGCATGCGTGCGTGTGTGTGTGTGTGTGTGTGTGTGTGTGTGTGTGTGTGCGAGCGTGCGTGCGTGCGTGTGTGTGCGTGCGTGTGTATGTGTGTGTGTGTGTGTGCGTGCGTGTGTGTGTGTGTGTGTGTGTGTGTGTGTGTGTGTGTGTGTGTGCGCGCGCATGTGTAAGTGAGTGAGTGAGTGAGTGTGTGTGTGTGTGTGTGTGTGTGTGTGTGTGTGTGTGTGTGTGTGTGTGTGTGTGTGTGTGTGTGTGTGCGCGCGCAGCAGCAGGAGCAGCAGCAGATGCAGCAGCAGCAGAGCACGGTGTGCCTGTAGAGTAGGCAGCACTCACCCAGAGGAAGCAACAGCAGCCATCTGATTAGAACGATATGACGGTAACTGGCTCCAACTGATTAAAAAAATGAATAAATAAATTTAAAGTCCAACTGATTGTTAAATCAGGATTTGCTCAAATGCAGCGGAGAACCAAGAGCTTTGATATGACCTCCAAGTCCCGATGCATAAAGTGACACTGATGCAAAATCAGTCGGTTACTTAAAAATGACGGAGACGCCAATGACAAAGGGAAGGGAGGCCACAGGGTACAGGGAAAAAAGCAAGCTGCACATAAGAGGATCAAATAAGTCAAAGAGCAGCTGCAGCATTTAATACAGAGCAGAGAATTCCTCTAAAGGCCACGGGGAGTCGTAGGTAGAGCTGATTCATTAACCAGAGAGGACGCTGGACGTTGATGGTCCCATTCAGCAGCTGCCACTGGAGGCAGGGAACACCATTTCACCTCCAGCACAGGGGAACGCCAAAGGAAATGCACTCAGTAAGATACAGCATGGAGGAGACATGCGTGCACCACCTTCATCTTGACAACCTTTCAGATAAAGTGGGAGGAAAGTTCCACGTCTGAAAGACGTGATCAAAACAAACCGTCTGCAGAGAGAAATAACAGAAGTTGAAGGCTGAGCTGATCGGAGTTTAAACAAACACATTCTTCTTCTTTTTAAATCCACTCAACAGAGGTTTTGAACATGAACAAAGCAGCTTGACGTGAGAATAGACTGGAGGAATACAGAGGGAGAGTGAGCGGGGAAAAACAACCGGCACCCGGCACCAGGACAGCCTCGGCTCAACTCACTGCTTCATTAGCTTTATATTATCCTGTGTGATGCACACAAGTGATCTGTTACACAACAGAGGGTCGCCCATCCACAAAATTAGCTGTGTGTGTTGCTGGAGCACCGAGACTCTCAGTTACAAAGAAACGTGGCACTAAACACATTTACAACCCAAACGAATGTTTAAGAACGTCAAAACAGGCCAAGAAACAGGCTGCTGTAATGAGGACGAGCGTCGAAAGGATGCAACAAAGCCAACCAAACAACACAGAACTCGATTTCTGTGCTGGAAAAGGGAGTGGTGGCATTTTAGATGCATAAAAATCTATAAAGTCACCAACATATCAGGCAGACAGCATCCCTACTCGAAGGCTGGTAAGTGCATTAACTGCCATCAAGCCCACGCTGGGTAGCAACTAAAGGAAGGATGCTCATGGCAACAACAAGGAGGTGATTAGATTACAGCATTAGATGTGTGCTAATAAGTCAGGATCAGACGTGCAAAAAAAAAAGGAAATTATTCATTAAAATGAGCAATCACAAAACAAGTGGTTGAAGAAAGATAGAAATGAGCCAAAGTGGTTCTTTAGGGGAATTAAAAATCAATCTGTGGAGGTGGAACACATTTTTGGAACAGAGTTGTTTGGGGTTTGTGTGTGAATCGGATATTAAATCAGGCTGCTGATCGTGAGCTGACGCTGAACTTACGATGTGAGGAGAGTCTCTGCCCATGGAAATGACCGTCCGGTTGATCGTCCTCAGTAGCTGCTCCATGATGATCTGCACGTGCCGCTGGCTGGGACCCTGCAAAAACACGCACACAGAAAAGCTCAGCAGCAGAAGATAAGACAGCAAGGACAGATCGTTGTGAGGAAACAGATCTCAAACAGCATTTTTTTTTATCCGCCCTCGTACAAAACAACCCATCAGGCTCTGTCTTGTCTAGAAGAACAAAGTAAAGCTTGTAATAAAACTAAAACCTACACATTTAGCAGCTTTTTCCCTGAACGTAACAAATCTGTTCAAACTATTTCCCCAAACGACGATACCGATCACTAGTCTGTTTGCAGGGTTTAATTAGCTGACAGACTGGATTTCTCTGATTCTGTCATCAAAGATTTCAACCCAGAAATAATAGTTTTAGACCAAAAAATAAATAAACGACAGGAAATGAACGGATGTGGATAATGTTGTTCAGAAGAAAATGCTCAATGTTCATTTAAAGGAGGCCAGCATACTTTTAATGCAACACTTGGCACTGACCTGACATGAGAATGTGAAATGTCTATATGTTTTCATGGAAAACGGCCTGTGTTTGTGTAGCATCTTTTTAGGGTTCTACAACCCCCCAAGGCCCTTCACAACACAATCAGCCAGCCACACATTGACACTCTGGTGGTGATGAGCCACGATGTAGCCACAGCTGCCCTGGGGAACACTGACAAAGGTGAGGCCTGTTGAACCCTGGCACCACCAGTCCCTCCAAACACCACCAGCGGGCAGGGCAGGTTAAGTGTCTTGCCCAAGGACACAACAGCAACATTCTCTGGTGGGAGCCAGGATTGAACCTGCAACCTTCCGATTACTGGACAACCCGCTCTACCTGGGGGCAGCAGTTGGGGCAGCAGTAGCTCAACAGGTTGAGCGGGTTGTCCAGTAATCGGAAGGTTGCAGGTTTGATTCTGGCTCCGGGCAGAGAATTCTGCTGCTGTGTCCTTGGGCAAGAAACTTAACCTGCTACCACCTGCTGGTGGTGGTCGGAGGGACCGGTGGTGACTGTGCTCGGCTACCTCGCCTCTGTCAGTGCGCCCCAGGGCAGCTGTGGCTACATCGTAGCTCATCACCATCAGTGCGTGAATGTGTGTGTGAATGGATGAATGATTCACTGTAGTGTAAAGCGCTTTGGAGCCCTTACTCTGAGAGGCGCTGTACAAGTGTGGGCCATTTATCATTTCCCTCCTGAGCTAATTATGCTACAACTACAGATAAAAAAGAACTGATTCAGCTACGGTAGGAGTAGCAGAAATGTCAACAGAAGTGTTTGCTGTGGATTGGCCTGAGTAAAAATCAGATGCTTACGCAATAAAACGGTCTCGTGATAAATGTAGACCTTCACTCTCAAGCTGCACTATTGAACGTGGACCAAATTATCTGAACAATGTCTCACGGTTACTGGAGCTTTTCAGTTGGAGTGTGAATGCCAAAAACAACTTTGTGTCCTTGAGAAGTTCTCTTGGTGAGGTTAGATGTTAAAGCTCAACCACATTCTGGTGCGGACCAAACAAGCGCACTCTGGAAACGTGGTTCTCAGAAAGCTAGCTAGCTTACAAGTGAACCCTGATGTGGTTTGCTCCCAATGTAAAAAAGTAAACCGACTACCTGAATCCAACACAAGGAGGAAATAATGCAGACGGTCTAAATCTGAAGAGGCAGAAGTAGAGAAAGAGATGGTGACACTTCACCTGACTTGCCTGTGTTGGTGGTGGGCAGATGGCGCAAAATGGCACCATTGCCTCTGTCAGACCGCCCCAGGGAGGCTGTGGTCACAGAGCTTACCATGAATGTAAGTGAATAAGGGAAAGTGCTTTGAGTGCCTAGAAGAGCACTATAAAAATTCTATCCACAATAATAAAAATCTATTATTATTATTATTATTATTATTATTATTATTATTATTATTATTATTATTATTATTATTATTATTATTATTATCATTATTATTATTTTGCGAAAACCTTTGGAAAAATTGTAAAGGCAGAAAATATTATAACATTCTCCAAAATTCTCAAATCAGAAATCTCTTTTTACCAAGAAATGCTTAGACTGTGTGAGCAGGAGGTGCAAATGCTGCAGAAAACTCATTTTTTAAAACATCCAAAGTTGTGTAGACAGGCCTTAATTAGCAAGATTCACCAAACTGTTCAGTTGGAAAAATTACCAAAACTAGTATGAGCAAAACAGACAAAAACGTCCTCCGATCTACTGAAAAAATGAAACTATCTGAGGAGGTACAAACAGCATCGACCAAGGAGGGAAGAGTGATAGAATCCTCAGGTCTGGAACAACTTTTGAGAAGTGGGTATGAAAAAAAGATTGGACTGTTTGTATTGTTCCACAATCAGTGTTTCCAGAAGCCTCCCTGACCTGTGATCCTGTCATCAGATTGTCCCTCGTTCCAACGCGTGCATTACTTTAGAAAAATCAGAGAACACCTTGGTTTTATTGATGTGCCAGACCGATATGAAAGAAAGCGAAGGCTGCAAGCGGAAGCAGCTATTTGGAGAGGGAGTGTAAAAACACGTGGGAGAAGGAGATAATCCCAGCGGGTAGAGAGTGGGAGGGCAGACGGCGGTGATCAATGACGAGCGTCTGAGAAGGTCTAGGGGAGGCCATCGAGGGGAGTCTGAGCACGGAAGAGGATCTAGCACACGTTTGGTGAACGTGTGTGAGGTCCAAGCCTGGTGCAGAAGAAATGAAAATGTTTGTGCACAAATAATTAGCTGCTCAATTTAGCAGTTAATTAAAAGAAGTAGAGGCAACTGGTGATAAGCATACTCGTTTAAGATGGATTACCCAGCTTCAAGAAAGACTCTTGTAGGTTTTTGAGTTTGAATGTGATCATTCCTGTCAACCTTTGAGCTCAAAAATTGTATAAAAATTAAAAAGGACTTCTGTTGCCATCATAAAACCGCATTGCTAAGGTGCACTCTGGTTATAAACCATCAAGAAGCAAAGCAGAGGTATACACATCTTTTTACAAAGGTCTCTCATCAAGCTCAAGCTATGACTTACAGAGCAAACAACTCTACAAGCAAGTAAATTAAGATCTCCATAAATCACATCCTGTTCAGGTTTTGTGAGTACATTTAGACCCACAGACTGTTATCTATTTACTGAAATACGAAGTTTCTCTCCTGGCTGCTGGATCTCCTGGTTATGCTTCTGCCTATCCTAGTGGGAAATTAAAGCACCTAATGCTGGAGAGTTTCTCACCACATCCTTCCTGTAAAGCACCTCCAGGATGTCACTGAGCAGCTGGCAGCATGCCTTTGGCTCCTCCCGCTTCTCCAGGTGGAACTTCAGCTGGTCCGTCATCAGCGGCAGCAGGATCTCACGGCAATCTGCAGGAAGCCCGATAAATACACACATCTGTCATGGTCTCTCGACACACAGAGCAGATCGCACAAAACGATACGCCGTATGCTTTTGACACGCATCTTATTAACGATTCTTACTCTCAGGGGATTCAATTAAAAACAATGTGTCAAATAAATAGAGAAATTGGGGAGGAAATAACTACATGATGATGCTTTCCCATCCCTTGGACAGAAAGAAGCTTTAACACACAGAAAACCTCCTCTAACCTTTTGGGACAAGTGTGTTATTCTTGATTCAAGCACTTGTTTCGGTTGGATGTTGAGTGAATTTCTAAAAGTGAAAGTTATACAGTATTTTCATTACATTTGATACAGAAAAGTAAAATGTGATGATCTCTAGTTGCAAAGATAAAGGCGACTAAAGGCAAAAATGTAAATGTAAAAAAAAAATGTAAATCTGAATTTTAAATCCCAATCAAGAAATGTGTTAATATTAGAGTAAAATCAGAACCAAATCTACTAAATAAAACATTTCTATTCCCAAAAATAAAAAAAACATAGTTAAAGCAGTTCCTCTTTTAAAGAGCAAGTCACCCCCAAATCTACGTTTTTTTTTTTTTTTTTTTTGCTGATAAACTATATAAATGAGTGTCTGATCATGCTGTAGACACAGGTAGTCAATAATTTGGCACTTTAGTGCATCTTAGTTAAAATTTAAATATTCTATCTAAAACTGTCAGTGTTGTGCCCTCTTCAGGTAAAAACTCTGCACTGCATTTAAATTTAAATCTGCCATTGCTAATGGCTAAGAAGTATCATATGACATCAGCTGGTACCATATGATGTCACAATGTCATTGTGAGCCTGTATTTGTGTGTATTTGCTGGCAGCTCCACCCTCTCGACCTGCCAGGCAACAACATTTGTTGCATTTTTCAAACAGGAAGTGGGAGTGGAGTAAGATTCTGGTAGGGGGTGACTTGCTCTTTAATCAGAATCAGAAAAACTTTATTTATCCCCGAGGGGCAATAAAAAAAATAACAGAAAAAAATAACAGCAGAGCAGCATGATGTTGGACATACGAACATTGAATAAATAGACCCTTTTACTACCTACGTCATCAAAAGTTGCGCGCGCAGCCTGGCAACGAGAGTGAAGGCTTCCTCATTCACACTAACACAGCGTTTTAAACCCTTTGTTTTGAAGTTCTGAGCACATAAAAATGTCGGGTTGTTGCGTGTATGGATGCCAGAATCGCTTCTCTTCAAGCAGTGGACTGAAACTTTACAGAATTCCGAAGGGAGCACATCCATTTCAACAAAATCGGAGGCGTCTGTGGCTGCAGGCCATCAAAAGGGTTGATGAAAACGACTGAAAACACGATCCGAAATGCTCGAGTTTGTAGCGCCCGTTTTATATCAGGTAAGGTAATTATGTACTAAGATTACACCAGAAAGCTGGTTAACGTGTGTTCTATTAAATAAAGTAAGTTGCGTTTGCTGGTTTGCTTTTAAGCAGTCTATTTTTTTTAATTAACATTTCATTCTAATTCATCTGTATTTTCCCACTGCATATTAGTATAAACTTTATTTCTCTAAAATTAACACAATTGTACTCTGAGCACGCTAAAAAAAGATACCTATGCTATATGCACCCTGCCATGCAGGTACAGTTGGCTGTGAAGACGTAGTTCTCTGGTTTGTTTACTATGACCCAAGCCTCGTACATAGCAGTCTTGTGTCCTTGTCTTTGGCTAGGAAGGATTTCTGCCTTCAGGACGCAAAACTCAGAGTTTATGTCGTGATATTTTACTTTCTGAACGTGGCCACAGACAACATAGTTGTATGCATCTAACAATTTGTATGCCCGTAGCTTCTCACGTGTGTACTTACTGGGCCTCTCCACTAAAAACTTATAAATATCGGGCCACTGGATATCTGGCCATGCACCTACATCTTCCACCCGTTCCGTAATGCCACAGGGATCCGGGAGTCTGTTGCCATTCGTTAAAGTGACTTTAATAATATAACATTCAAGATTTGCCGGTGATAACCCCGCAGCGTAGCTTGATAAAGCCTGAAACAACGCCATTCTCTGTTGCCAAGCTGCGCGCGCATTCTCGCTGACGTCATATTGTTTACAAACAGTAAAAGGGTCTATGGCAATAAGGAAGTAATAAATAAGTAATAAGCTTGAGATAATAAGCACTTGTGTTCATGTTGTTGATTAAGTATTTGTACAGTTCTTTCTAATGAATTAATTTTTGAAAACAAAAACAAAATGAAAGTTTATACTTATATGAAGACTAAATTATGACAAATTTTGGTCGACATTGTCATAGATGAATCTATTTAATCAGAAAACTAAAAAGACGAGAGAACGGAAAAAACACCCAATCATCAAATGGAACAAGTAGGACTAGACGAGTATGAACCAATCGGAGTCCGGAGCTGGCCTCTGAACAAGCTACTGGTAACCATAGACAATGTATACTGAGCTTTATGCTGGTAACAGTTAAAACATTTCTGTCTAAAAGAGAAAATGTCTACGGCTGGGAGGAAAAGCATTAGATGTGATGATCTGAGAAGTATTTGCTTGGTGAGTACACATCCGGGGTTTCCCCTGGTTAGAAAAGTGTTACGGTGGCAGCAGTGAGCCTTGGTGGGGGTGGGTGGGGCGTTGATTGCTGGAGCAGAACCGAACGCGTGGAGCAGCACATCCAGTAGTAACATTTTCATGGTGCTGCTACACTGTAACAGCGTTCAGTGTTCTAATAATACACCTGAACACATTTCTTACCTTTTGTTTACCTCTTCGCGTTATTAGAGCAACCTCTTAATGTTTTGATGGTATGATGTCATTTCCTGGCATGTTTACAAATATTACTGCATTACAGACTTGCGTATTAATATTGAGGCATAATTTCAAACTGTTAGTGTGAATTTAGGCATTTTCCATAAAGCATTAAAATATTTATAAATGTAGTTTAATTGATTGAAAGTGTGAAATGTGAATTTTTCACATTTCTTTACAGTTTCAAGTAGGTGTCGTTAGCATTTCCTTTACAGAAGTAGAAAATTATTGCATCAGAAATAAAACACATATATTGTAGTCGACTGAAATTGTTTCCCATTTTAGTCGACCACAATAAAACAAAAACTAAAACAAAATGGACGACTAAATAGTGATTAAAATGTAAAAGAATTTTAATCAAAAGAGTAACACTGAATTAAAATTTCTTGTCAAAATCAACACTGCTAAACACAACATTGTGATCATTCTGTAGCACTTTTTCGTAAAAAAAGAAATTTCACGATGAGGTAATTTATCGATGGTTGCTCATCGGCAGTCATCTCCAGCTTTCACTGGAGCGGCTTGCAGCAGAGTTTGAAGCAGCTGGGATGAGAATCAGCTCCTCTAAATCCAAGACCATGGTCTTGAGTCGTGAAAGGGTAGAATGCCTTCTCCAGGTCAGGGATGAGGTCCTGCCCCTGTCATGTTCTGTGTCCTTGTAGTCCCCAGCTCCCTCCTGGTATCCCTCATGTTTCCCCCTAGTCACTTTATACTTAGTTATCCCATCCCATTTAGTTTAGTATCCCCATAGATTTAGTGTGTGTTCTGGTGTAGAGTTTCAGGTTTATTAGTTCTCTTATCTTTAGTTCTCTGTATCCAGTTTATCCAGTCAGTTTCTTCCTTTAATACAATGTGTTCCTTCCCCATTTAGTTAATTAGTCTCTCCTGATCCCTTCAGCTTACAATCCCCACACACCTGCTACCTGTTTCACTAATTGCTTCGCTCTGTGTATAAAACCCTGTCTTGTCTCTCAGTGTTTGTCGGTCCATTGTATGTGTTGGCCTTGTTCTGTCCCTCTCTAGTTTCCCCAGGTTTGTGCTCATGTGTGAGCTTCTGTTTTGTTTTTTGTCAGTGCTGTTTGAGATTAGATTGGTTTTGCGCCCTTGGATTTTTACCCATCCTCCTTTAAATAAAGGAATTTGTTTTCTCAAATCACTCCTGCCTCAAGTCGTTTTGGGTATTCTGCATCTTGGGTCCAACCCTCCTGCTCGCAGCGTGACAGCCCCAGGTGGAGGAGTTAAAGTATTTTGGGGTCTTGTTACGGAAAGATGGAGCGTGGGATCGATAGGTGGATTGGTGCTGTGTCGTGTTGTACCGATCTGTCGTGGTGAAGAGAGAGAGGAGCCAGAAGACAAAGCTCTCAATTTACTGGTTAATCTACGTTTCTACCCTCACCTATGGTCACAAACTTTGGGTAGTGACCGAAAGAATGAGATTGCGGATACAAGCGGCCAAAATGAGTTTTATCCGCAGGCTGGCTGGGCTCTTCCTATAGGGTGAGAAGTTTGGCCATCCAGGAGAGGCCAGTTGAGGTGACTCGGGTATCTAGTTAGGATGCCTCCTGGTGAGGTTTTCTGGGCACATCTAACCAAGAGGAGACCCAAGGGAAGACCCACACTGGAGGGACTATGTCTCTTAGCTGGCCAGGGAACACCTTAGGATTCCCACGGAGGAGCTGGTCCAAGTGGCTGGGGAGAGGGAAGTCTGGGCCTTTTAGCTTAGGCTGCTGCCCCCGTGACCCGACTCTGGATAAGTGGCTGAGAATGAATGAATGAATGAATGAATGAATGAATGAATGAATGAATGAATGAATGGATGGATGGATGGATGGATGGATGGATGGATGGATGGATGGATGGATGGATGGATGGATGGATGCTCCTGTTATTTTCAATTAAGACAACATACAAATAAAATATAAATGGTAAATGGCCTGTATTTGACACAGCACCCTCTAGGGTCCAAGAACCCCCAAGGCACTTTACAACACAATCAATCATTCACCCATTCACACACATATTCACACCCTGGTGGTGATGAGCTACGATGTAGCCACAGCTGCCCTGGGGCACACTGTACACCTGGTGCTGAGTCTGTTGTACACAGGTGCCACCGGTTCCTCTGACCACCACCAGCCAGTAAGGTGGGTTAAGTGTCAGGCCCAGAGACAC